CAGGGAATTCTTTCTGCGCGGTGGTGATTTGATGTAGCTCATGCAGATCAAGCCCGTCTGGAACAGAAGCGTTCCCTGATTGTTTGAATTTAGCTCCCGACCAGATTGAAGGATCAGATAGACAACGCACCGGCGGGAATGGTGTCCCACGATGAGGAAGATATAAAGTTGGGAGACCAGAAAGGGATGGATTGGCAAGCAAGTTTGTTAATCGCTCCTCAGATTGTAGCTCTACAAGCAGAGCCCCACCGCCTCGGTTTCCTTTAGGCCAATAGACCGCGGACCTTAACGGACCTCCAGGCGAAGAATCGAAATGCTGCATTACTAGTCTTAGCGATGAAGGAGAGACCGCTAATAGGAGACAACGTTTAGCAATGGGAAAGAATGAGCTTAAAGTGGACATGGCCGTAAAAAAATAAAAAAGAAGGCACTAAATGATGACAAGGATGGAAGGAGGGAGCCAAGAGCGTGCCGAAGTGATCTGAACCATGGAAAAGTCTAGCAATCCTAGAGAATGGTTAATTTAAAGAAAACATACCTCGCAAGCCAGAGCAGCTTGCATACAGAAGAGTTCCAACTTCAAATCGCCCAAATCCGTGTGCAAAGTGACAGCCTGGAGAAGTACAGCAAAAGAAAATTTATAAATATACATCGTTAATATTATAAGCTTATAGAAACATGAGCTTTTTAAATCATATAATTTGCTCGTAAAAGCCGAATTTGCGGAGCTAGCCCCGTTATGGGCCTAACATTAGGCGATTAAATTACTTTCAGGGCGAATTTTGCCCAAGTGACAAGTAACCGTGGCTCCATATATTAAGTGATCGAATAGCCAAAACAGACGCAGGCATGTATAAAAGGCTGGGTAACACTGGGGTGATATGAAAACAATTTACTGTGGATAAAATATCTTGAGTTAGGAGGAAAATAAGAAAAGCATCTTATTTTTAGCATGTAGTATCCAGGCAAGGTAGCCAAGATTTTATTAACGCCAAACTCTCCACTAAAAGATACGTATTCAATCTAAATAGCCCACAATGGCGATTAAGCTGTAATATTAAGGATTTAACTGGAAGTAGGGATTATATGTATTTATATGGGCGGGAAAATGGATTATATAACATCAAGCCAAATTTTCTAGTGAAGAATGACCCAACGAGGCCCCGAAAGAACATTGCAAAACTAACATGGAGGCACTAGCAAGTAGGCCTGTGTAAAATCAATAGATAATTCCCGTATAGCATTAGCCGTTACTCGAAAAGGTTATGAAATGTGTTATATTGAGTGGACAAAGTCAGGCAGTAAGAAGTGAATGATCTCTAATCGTGCCCTGTACCGAGGATGTCCGTTATATGACAAAAAAGTTAGGCGAGTATGCATTGGGCCGCGGGCCAATGCGCCAGGCGCTCATTCGCACAAATCTACATTAACAAGCCCAATTAAGTCTTCCTTCGACTTACATTAAGGTTACTTTGCCTATCCCTTCCGCGCGACTCTTCAACCGAAATGATAGGTACGCAAACAATACAAGAATCAAATGTGACAAAAAGTATACTCAGGTTAATGTCAATAGAGAACAAGTGCCGTGAAAATGAAGTAAATTACTTAATTAATACAAGTTGACAATTTAAAAACAGGACGTGAAACAGCAACTGGTTAACTAAAAGAATAGAACGAATGAGTACTCTTAGAAACACATCAGCAGCATGCAAATAAAAAAATGTAACACAACTTTTGAATATAATTGACACAGGAAAAGCATACAATAAAAATAGCCTTGTCTTAAACTATAAGCCTCTCTGATTGCAAGGTGATGAACGCGAGAAATAAAATATTATGAAGTCGCTTTGTTCGATTCTCCATCAGCAGAAATACAACCCTTAATAAAAGGTATCCCACAGCCGACAGCTTTTTGATAGTCTCGATATTGCTGGCCAAAAAATTTTACCAAAGAAGCTTCTTCAATAAAAATCCGTTCATCAAAGAAACGATAGGCAGCTATAGGGTAAGCTATTGTGCAGATAGGGTTTGCCAAAAGGATTTGAGTTCCTAGACTCCAGTAGAACCAGCCAACATAAGCAGGGTGCCTAAAACAAGAATATACACCATAAGTGACTAATTCGTGATCTTGACGCTTGTAGAATTGAACATGATGATTAAAGTTTGTGCTTGCAGTAATTATGGCAGCTTTACGCAAGGTCTCTCCTCCAATGCATATAAAAAGGCCTAGGAGGTTAAGCCAAGCTGGGGCACAGTAATTGGTTAAAAAGAAGTAACGAATAAAACTACCAACCCAATGTTCAAAGATGCTACAAGCTGCAGCAGCCAAATATTCAGGAGAGTGGTTCAACATGTACAAATCGATGGAGGCCGTCTTGGAATAAAAAAGCGACGCAAAAAAAAACTCTGACCAATGGAAAAAAGAAATAACACAAACGTAGAGTCCAAAACACCATAAAACTTTAGATTCAGAAAGAAATACATTGGAACAAAAGACAAGATAGGCCCCAATGGCAAAAGCGAAGCCGAGACCAGAAGCACGCCAAAAATTACCAGCTTGTGCATGCCATCGCTTCCAAAAATGAAGTAATTTTGTCAATATGAAATCAGCTGCGTGAAATACGCTGATCATAAGCGGGACAACAATAAATGGGGGATAAAAAGCTGATACAATTTGGTTGAATGAAAAGGATGGTAATAAAATAAATAACGGGAAGGAGGAAATACCATAAATGAAAGCGAAAACAGAAATAATAGAAGAAACAGGCCATAGGCGAATATCAAGTATCTTTAAAAACATGTAGGGCTTTGAAGGAGTTCAGATTTCCGTATGATCCAGAGCTAAAAAATAAATATAATTGATAATTAGTAAGAAGTACAAAGTCTAAAAGTATTAGAGAAAAAATAATCAATAACAAAAGTATTTGAGAGTGAATGGGCCAAAATGATGCATGTAATAAAGAGTTGCTTTTACCAAAACAAGATACTTTATTTTTCATTTATAAGCAGGTTTTCGAGACTAACAATAGATTTTTAATGTGTGATATATTTAACCTATTTCATTTAAGGCGATAAGTGAATTGGCAGTTGAATCTTGCCACAATGCTATAAATAGATCTTATGTTTCCACTGTATTTTGAGAAAACGAGACTATGTGAAATTTAATGGAAACGTGAGGTCTAATCATAGCATTCTGAAAAATAACACTACTAATCCCTCTAGAACCTTAAACGAAATAGGGCGAATACATCTGAAGGTACTTTAGTTGCAGGTTAAATTCAATATGTTGATCATGAGGTAGCAGCCTTGGCTAATAAATTTATGCATAAGCATGGAAAAATATTACCTAAATGAGTTGGTAGCCGGTTGCGGCATCTATGAGATGCACCATTCAGGCGATCATAAGATCTTCAAAAAAA